ACTTTACAGTTTTGTGTTTCTGCTCTCATCAACCTTGTTTCAATCCACAACATGCAGCTGTTTAAATAAAAAATAAAATGAGCTCAACTTTAAATAAGCTCAGCAGGAGGCAGCGGACATGTTTCAGACGTAGAGCCCACAGGTCTGCAGCTGTCGGAAAGTTTTATTAAAGTTGCATCTCTTTCATACTTCAATCTTTTCCAGTATCACAGCCTTGCACAGAATCCGCTCGCCCGGGGAAATATTAGTGACAGTCTGACAGAGGGTATTAAGCAAGAAAGCTCAAATCCGATTCTTCCCTCCCCATGAGTGTTCACTTTGCTAAAGTTCTCATCACCTGAGGGAGACAAGGGCGAGAGAAGTCTCATTTTAGCCAGATTTCAGAAGCCAGGTAACCAGACCTTATATCTTTATATTCAACGTTTCAGATGCAATCTCCTCCACACCCTCTTCTCCTTGGTTATAAAATAACCCCGGCCCAAATATGTTGGCTTTTCTCCCTTGGATAATCTCACATCATCACATCAGGCCTGTCGTATTGATTTCTGGGGAAAGTAGTCCTAAATTGCTCTTCCTTTGTCAATCTGAGGCTTGTTACCAGGCAACAGTATGACCCAACTCTCTTAAGCCCCTTCACCCCCCCTACACACACACACACACACACACACACACACACACATGCTCAATTACAGTCTTGACACACTGCCAAAAATGCAATCGGATGCAATCCTCCTTCTAATGTGAGATATGAAACGGTGCCGGTGACAAATATGTTTCAGCACATTCAAACACCGTATCAGTGTTGGAAGGCAAAGCCATTGTTTTATTGAAGGTATAAGATTACTCGACTTGAAAATTCTTGGATTAGAACCATTTAACTTTGGATGTGTGTTTAAAGGAAGACAAACTTCAGCATTAGCGCCTGCTGAAATAAGGGAATGGTGGAAATATGCTCAGCCTCTGTATTTTGATTAAAAAACGTGTTGCAGCAACTTTGTGGCATTTTGATGAATGACAAAAATAATGGGGGGAAATTTCAGTTAGAAACAATGTAGTGTACGTAATAATTTAATAGCGTAAATGCGCTGCTTGAGGCCATTTGGTTAAATATTGTGTTTCACATTAAAAGCAATGACTGTCAAGATGAATTCCGAGAGAAGAATTCTAGCTGAGATAAATGATCTCTGGCTTCTTTTGATAGATCGACCAAATATTCAAATACAATTATTCAAATACAATTCTTCATATTAATCACATTTGGACAACGCTCTTCTGGTTTCTGCACTCATTCTTCATTTGTCAGCGCTGGAACTCCTTCAGTCTAAAAGTGGGAACTCATTGAAGTCGTGTGTCTAATTCAAATATTCAATCAGATAGATGCATGTGCACACTGAAGCAGACACACACATAAACACACACATACATCCACAACCTCAGAGGGGTGGAACAGCGTCGGTTGCTGAGGGGATGGGGTGGGGGGGATTAAATTGTGGACCACCTGCTTCTGTCACCTGGGACATATTTTACATGATTGAGCCAAATGCTTGAGATTGGATACACATGACAACATTCAGGCAGCTAGGCCGAAAGAGAAATCCGCAGTTTTGGCAAGAAATATGTGCAGTACTTGTATCTGTGTGCTCCCTCCTGTAGTATCTCCCATTATGTCTCTTATACTAATAAGTTCTTCCAAACAAACGGACAGCTGACAGATAAGGATTGAAGGTTTTAATAGGAATAGTCAGACAGAAGGGGAAATGAAACGCTGGTTCCCTGTACAAATTGCTGTAATAACCGTATTTACATTAAAGCTTTTTAATAACTTACACAACGTTGCTTTATTGAGGTGGGGAAGAAAAAACAGGAAATAAATGCCTATCTGCAGTGTTTCTGAATTAATATCTCATTATGGTTCTGCATCATCATTTCTTTGCTCTCACGTTAAAAAGGCAGGGGATTATACACTAATTACATATTGCATGGTGGGGAATGTCTCCACTGGTGATGAATAAAAGTCCAACTGCTCACATAGAAGTTCCTATTTCATCGAGGGGCTGCTGCTTATATTTTATCAGTTTATCGAGTTGACTTCACAGTTAAATTATAATATATTGGAGTCAGACCTTTTGATCCCAGTCGTATCTGTGTTTTGGTCACTGGAAGCTTCTTGTTTGTCATTTTATTGAAAAAAACAAAAGCTTCCCTTTTTGAGGAGCCTATTCCAAGATACAACAGCATGAACGACATTCTCATATCACTGGTTTCTCTCCTGATTTGCTCCAGCCAATTTCCTCTCTATGTTCATTAACGGATTTCTGTATTCATGCACGTTCACCGACTCCTTCATGTCACGAGGCCTTTATCTCGTCTTCCCTGCACATATTCAAAACACAAAGCTGAAAAAAAGAAATCCCTCGCCATCACATGTTTCCACTGATGAAATTGGCTCCTTTTAGAAATGATTCCAAATGTGACATGGGTCTGTGTGCGTATATCCATGTGTGTGAGAGTGTGTACATGTGAGTGTCTGCATCGCAGGGAGGCTGCAGTGATAGCCTCAGGCTGCACTCCTCTGTATGTATCTGATCCAGGCCTAATGAAGCTGAAAGCCTGGCAGTTGTGAGGAGCATCTGCAGAGCCACAGAGTGATGGGCATCTCATTCTGCTGCCTTGTCCCAGGGGGGGCCACACACATCTGAGCACCCTGCCTGCTGTTTGCACAGTGACTTGCTGCCCCTGTGTACCCATGCTGCAGAAGGTCATGCCACATATGCTGTGGGTGCCATCTGGAGAGTCTGCTTGACTGCCATGGCATCTTGTCATGCCACCGCGGACTGGTGATATGACCGACTCGGAGGCAAATATCTGCTTTTGATAAATTAAGTCATGGTCTTTTTTATTTTTTAGAGTAGTGCAGTGTCCTGTTTTAAAGGGGCTGAGTGCTTGGTCTGTGGTGATGCTGGTTTCAGCTTTCTTTGTGAAACTGTAAAGTAAAGAGCTGCTGATCTCAGTCCACAGAACCCTGAAGCACAAAGAGCTGTTCACCTGTATATTCAGAATTAAGTGAAGCTCAACTATGACCACAGATCCACTAACTGGAGAAATAGATACTGTTGTCAAGAATGTGCTTTTGTCACTATCCCAATCCCAGCTGCTTCTGCTGCAGAGTACTGGTCGCCTATTTATTAAAAATGTTTTAATACTGAATGTATCAAAAAACAAATTCACTGCACTTGCACCTGCATGAGATGAACGGTTATCGAGTAATGCATTTCACATACATACCAGATTATTATACCACCATTATTAGAGATATTATATAGATGCATACCATGAACTTCGATGTGTGTGTTTCAAAAGGAAGAGTTCATGATAGAAATCAGGACATGCTGAGATGCAGTGGATTAAATGTGTATTTTGTTTGGATGAAAGTTTAACAACTTATTTTAATTGGCTGCGAGGGAAATTAACATCAGCATTGACGCTATACAGTATGTGACTTGAGTCACAATTGTGACTATTGAATAACACTTATCAAGGGCTGTCTTATTTTTTTTTTTAAATATTCCAGTGCTCTATCCTTCAAGGAAAAGTCATGGTCTCTTCTCTCTCTCTCTCTCGCTCTTTTCCCCTTTTATTATTATTATTTATTCTTTCATGTTGACACTTCCCAGTTTCCACGATCGGGAGATGATTAAATTACAGACATTAATATGGCAAGTGAGTCCCATGCAACAGGGTTTGGGCTGCTACACCCTATACATCTAAATATAGATTTAATAACAGTGCCTGTTTTTTCATTAGTGGCCTGGAATGCTTACAGTGCAATCTGCAGCCCTCTCTCTCTCTCAGTCCAGCGCTCACTCTGCATATAAACACCAGGATACTCGTCTGAAAATGAGAAGACGTACCACGGTTTGTCTCTCTCTCATTCTCTGTCTCTTGCCATAATGAGGGGTGCGTGGAAGAATGGATGTCTGACCATTTGCTTTTCGAGCTACATTAACCACAGAGCTAGAGGAGACGCTCCTTGGAAGATTTCATAACAGTGGTATAATAAAAAAGGGACCTCTAACCAGTGGCGTACCGCGGTGAAGGCATTTAGACGAAATGACGAACTGATAGGCCTCCTTTTTTATGGCTTCTCTGCTTCTCTACCTCCTCTAAAGCTCCAACTCTGCAGATTCTCCACAGTTCTCTTTCTTTGCTCATCTGCATCGCCGTAATGATGAGCGCTCATGTTTCCAAATACACGAGAGAGAGGGGACAGACATATCGTGAGAGCGACAGGCATCACACAGGACAAGAGCTGATGTATTCACTCCTCCACCCTGACACGTTGAAAACATCTCGCTGTGAATGCTGTGCCAGGAAGCTTTAACATCAGCGTGTTGCTCGCTCCATTCTTGTGTCAATTAGTTTAGATTACCTCACAGGAAATCAAATTACCGCCCTGATCTGAAGGTATTATTTATCAAAATGTGCACACTCGCAGCACAGTGTATTCGTAATAGATCTCCTTTCAACCACCGTATTCCTGTGGTCTGTATCTGCTTAGTGTGTAGACAGCCGGTGGTTCTGTTTGTCTCCATGCAGCCTCCATAGGGTGTATTGAATGTGTCTGACCCACTGTCTCTTTATGGAACGTCTTCCTAATTACCTTTGGTTTTATGGTCAGACCTGTGTCAGTCCCCCACTCAATTTGTCCCTGTGAAATGTAGCTCGGCCTTGGGTTCAAGTAGGGGAGAAAACACGGCACATTGATTAATCAAGGAGTGCAGGTTCAACCTCTGTTCTCGGAGAAGTCAATTCAATGACATGTTTTCACCTGGGGCACATTCCATTTGTCTGAAGTTGCTTCCTGTCCGTAATTAATTTCCTTATATCTTTCCTTCATCTCCCTTCCTGCCTTTTTCTTCAAGTAACTGATAATGTGAAAAAGCTGTTGAACAATTAAAAAGTAAATGCTGTTTTGTGTTGTGCTTGTTCTCTGGTTGTAGGCACAGTGCATCCAGTGTGACCAGGAGAGGACACGACAAAAAGACAGATGATGTTTCAATGGAGTCTGGAAGCGATGCCCTGAGAGGACCGCGGAGCCGTGCATGTGGTAAACAGACTGTAAACACAATGTGTTTTGCTATAGATGTTAAAATTACAGGCCTGGTTGACTTTTATCGTCCAATGCTAAACACAAAACTGCTTTGCATTGTTGTTGCGTACATAAATATTGACCTTATTGCTTTACAATGTTAGATACCCACATATTTCAGTGTTATTTTGAGAAAACAAAAGGAAGACGCTGCAGGAAAGACGTTTCCCATTATCGCTCTTCATTTTATTTCGTAACATTCCTGTGTGTGTGTGTTTTTTGAGCACACAGAGTGTAATGATTAAATTAAAATAAAAGGGATGTGCTTCAAACACTGAAAAGCACGACCAAATGAAATAGGGATAGTTGATAAAATGTGGAATCGAAAACATTTGGGGGAGCAATTTTGTTCTGCGAGGTTATCTAAGTGCCTTCGATGTCTCCTTAGTTTGGTTTATTAGGGAAGTATCTGGCTTACCATGAGCAGTGGGACAATTACAAAGACAATTTCACGGGGAGGGTTTCTATAATCATCAATGCATGCTGGGAGCCCATATCAAAGTAAGTTTCATTTGGACTGAAGAGAATTCATTTGTAGTTTATAACTCCACAATGCAGCCATTAGCAACTGCACTCAATCAGCGATTTTAAAAAGAGAGAGAAAAAAAAGTGGGGATGAAAATGAGAAAACAAAATGCAAATTAAAGCTTTTGAGCTCAAGTAAATGAGCAACTTAAATGATTTATCCAGTGCGCATTAAGTGCTGCCTTTTTAAGTATGCATTGTTGCTTCTCTGGACCCAATACAAAAAACAAATTCATAATACTCATTAAATATTTCTTTCAGAATAACCAGAGAGCAACAAACGTTACTTAATCCTATTATTGTAAACTATACTCGAAGTGAGCACAAGTCTGCGTTAACCCAGACTGAGCTGACTTTTTTAACATGGTGTTGTGGAGAGTAACCGGAGCCGCTCGGCACCAGGGCCACCTACAGTAATCCCTATTATGCATGCTTACATCAGGCTGCAGTGTTGTTTTGATAAAAACATAACAAGTCATTATGAATGGAAATGAATGTATGTCGGTGGGTTCAAAATAGCACATAATTACACTATTACCCCTGACGATACAGGTTTACCCCCATCTAACACCACAAACATCAAGGTCTCTCCGGCAAATATTTCCTTGTGGTTAGTTTGTAAACAAATTAAATTCATTAAAGGGGCGACGACCGGAGGTAAACACCAACATGCCTCGCACGTTGCTCGTAGTCTTCACAGGGCGGTGAATTATCCCCGCAGAGGAAAATATAATGCAATTCAACACGTCATCGGAATTAAAGCGTAGCAGGTGACTTCACATCATAGCTAGATGATGCATAGCACTGATTATTACTCACGTGTGTTTTCCCTAAGCTCAGAGTTTATTGTGTTTAGAATATGGTTGTGTTAATGATGGTTTGTGATAAATGAGTTTGTGCCACGCCATGATAGACGTGGCTATTAGGGCTAAAATGAGGTGGGACCCACACCCACAGGAGCCACCGCAATTAGTTTGAGCCAGATCAGAGGGTGCTGGCATAATGACCTGATTCTGGCAGCTTATTCTATTCCTGATCTCTAATCATGGTTGCCACTGGCATCTTTCTCTGTCTCCCTCTATTCCTCCCTGCCTCTGCCTCCCGGCCCGCGGTATATGAAATAATGAAATAATAAAGACTAATGTGAATGTTGCGGGCCGAGTGACCACTCACACGTGGGTCTCTTGCTTTGGCGAGTACAATTACACAGTAAGTTTGATCGGCGGTGATAGACAAAACAGCAGGGGCTCATAAATATGGATGGAGAGTCTGAGAAAATAAATTAACAGGGCCTGGCCTCTCGGCTGCCCCACTTAGACTGTCAATTACGGACCTGACAGGAGCCTTGCGAAAGAACCACACAAGGATGGCACACACACACACAAACACACACACACACACACACACACTTGTTTGTACTTCTATCTTAGTAAGGACAGTCATTGACATAATACATTCCCTAGCCTTTTACCCTAACCTTAACATTCCAAACTGAATACCTAACCCTAATCCTAAAACCAAGTCTTAAACCTCATTGAAAAAGTGAGGACCAGTCAAAATGTCCTCACTTTGTAGAGTCTGTGCTTAACATGGTCCTCACAAAGAGATAAGTACAGGAACACACTCGCACATACACAAACACACACACTCTCTCACACACACGGTCATTAAACTGTGCATTTGAGACCATTCTGGAGCCATACAGCAGTCACCTGCTTCATTATCAGCAGACAGAGTTCATGCTTTATGACATGTATCAAGAGCTTAAAGTTATTGAGTGATGTCAGCCGCTGCACAAAATCCAATACAGGGGTTGGTTCAGGGGAAAAAAAGACAGACATTCTCATTTTCACATATTGTAAAAATGTATTGGAGGCAGTTTTTTCTCGTGTTTAAGACTCTGCAAAAAACGTTTTTTTTTGGGAGGTCAGGGGCCAAACATGACAAAAACAGAGTGGGACTCCTGCATCTTAAAACGGGTATCGTGAGGTATGTTTCACCTTTTTCTGAGCGGGGTCACTGTTTTTGTTTTGCGTCTCATTTTAAAATGTGACAATAAATGAAATTATGCATGCTGGGAAGATGAACACGCTATAAGAGGGCACGGAGTGGAAGGACAAACAGGCAGGGATTCAAGACCAATTTGGACCATATCTGTGCACACGTCCTCTGGATTCATGCGCTGAGTGAAAGGGTCAACCCTGCTGCTTTGATACCAACAGAAAAAAGTCACCCTCTGACCAAAGACACTGGCTTAGAGCCAAATTATTGGGGTTGACAGAAAGAAGTAGCATAAACTGGTCTATAAATTTGAAGCACTGCTGCAGGGGAAGTTTGTGTTTATTCATTTTGTGTGTCATTATTTTTCAATAATTTTGATAACAATACATTTCTTTGTTGAGCTCTTTTCAACACAGAGTACACAGTAGTGCACAACAAGAAAACTAATGGTTAAAATACAGGAGGATGTACATTAATAATAATGGTAGTTATAATAAATAATACATATATAATAATAGAGAGGCACCCCAAGTAAACTGAGGAATATGCCCTGTGAAGAAAGTGAGTTTTTAGCTGAGATACAAAAGAAGTCAGTGTTTTTGACGGCCTTATTTCCTCAGCAGTTCATTCCAGAGCCTCTGGCCCTGATGGCGAACACTCTGTCCCCCATAGTTTTCAGCCTCAGGAAGTAATGGCAGACCCTTGTATAAGTTGCTATATTCCAAAATGTATTCACTGCATGTACAGAACCATTAATGAGTATAAGAAAATCCATACGTGTTGTATTTGTGTGCACATGTTGGCGGCTTTGATTAGCATTAGCAAGTTTGTCTGTATGAGAAGGGTTTGACACAAGGGGAAGGGGTCATGGTTGGTGGGTGTAAGGAAGCAGGCAAGCGAGAAGGATTTGGGGAGATATTGATTTTCCCTTAAAGACCTTGATGTTCCAGAAATATCAGCTGCCATAATAATCTAAAAGCAATAACATTTCTCCTGCCAACACTCTTTTTTTCAGTTTGGAACCAGAATGTCTGTGTAGATTATCCTGGGTCTGCACTGATAGGAGAGATTCTGGGGAGGGGGGCTTCAGGCTGTAGCTCATTCTAAAAAACATTGTTCTACTTCTGATTGAAAATCCAAGCTCTTGTAAACCTCAGGGATCTGAATTAGGTTCTATTGGCAGTTTCGGCCAGGAAAAAAAAAAAACCCACCTCTTTCAGCTTCTGCAAATAAGAAAATAATTTGCTTCTAAGCATTTGAATAATGAACCTCGCAATTTACCTTTGAGGAGGCTGGATAAACAGACGACTGTGTTAACAAAGCAGACACCAGAGTATTACGCATCATACAAAACAAATGCTTAACGACTCACAGCATCAAACAGATTTAAACTAAACTTACATTTACTTCAGGATGCTTTTGTGGCAATATAAACAAACTGCTTGGATCTGTTTATTATATACACTTTAACAAGATGATGTGTATTAAAGACAGAAAGTGTCAAGGGATGAATTCATAAACATTTAGAAGACAAACAGGGAGGAAATTTTGGAAAAGAGCTGATATCTTTTTTTTAGCCCAAAAAGTTAACATTTAACATTGTGGGTTCAGCCACAGAGTATATTAGATAGTTGACAGTAGAGATTAATAAGATACATGAGTTGAGAAATTAACTGCTCATATCGGTTTCACCATTTGCTTTAGATTCAGCCAGACACAATTCAAATTGTAAACAGCACACGAGCCCCGGAGACAGGGACCAATGGTTCTTTCATTTTTATGGAAAAGGGACAGAAATCGATCAGACTGTGTCCAGGTAAACAAACAAAAAGCTTTACAGGGATTCAAATATTTCTCTCCGGTTTCGCGTAACTATCTTAAACAACTAGATCAGTAATTTCATAAGCAACTGGGAAAACAACGCAGTTGTCCACTAAAAAAGTGGAACTATGAAGTTTTTGCATCACCTCCCGCTCAAATACATGATTTATACATTCCTGTTGGATTGTTTTATGAAGTAAACATCATACTTTCTGCTGAATACCTTGTGGTCGTTATGATTAAAGTAAAATAAATGCTGAGGTTATTTTCCAGAGTTGTGAAATTCTGTCAGTAAACCTGCTTTCAGTTTCTGCAGACTTTTTCTGCCTGACCCCCTGGTATAAAGTCCGTAGAAAACCAGAAGAGGTTGATGTGTGAACACAGCCGGGGTCCCCTGCTGGATTCATTGTGAGGGCGTGCAGGGGTTGATTAGTCTGCTAACACACGACGAATGCAAAAAAAATCACAGATGGTGAAAAATCATTGACACACACAAAGAAGACACTGACGAAGATGTCGAGAGAGTATGAGATGATAAAAGCCGACGACTGTGTCAGGGTGCTGTAAACAGGATCACGTGATCTCTGCAGCGGAGATAATACGCTGCTTCC